GTAAGAGTTTAAATTTGTATATACAAATTTCTAGCTCCTAGTCAACGAGAGGCTGCTACCAGCCTATATCAAAATCATCTAATTTGTTTTAAATCTTAACCATCCTTCCTTACCACCTGATCAGTTAGTATATTACTCTACTAACTATATATAATATTATATATAATAATATATATAGATAAGGCTTTTGACAAAGTAAATTAAAAATATATATAAACTAAAAACTTAGTTTTGAAAATATTATTGATATTAATATAAAAACAAAAAATATAGTAATATTTTAGTACATACAATATATTATTATAGTCTTTTTCTAAAACTTTTCTTTTTTTTGCTTTTTTAATACAACTTTCTATTTATTTTATTGTATAGTATTTATTAGTCTATAAAAAAAACTAGAAAATATTAATAGAAATCTATATTTATATTTCTTTAAAGAACTAGATATTTTTAGTTTCTTTTTATTAATACAAATTTTTGATTTAAAGTACTAATAAACTTACTAAAGCTTTACTTATTTATTTTAAGTTTTTTTATTATATTACAGAATATTTCACTTATTAAAAATTTTTTAATATTTACTTTCTTTAAATCTTAATACTATTTTTACTTCTAAAAAACTTATTAGATTTGATTATTTTTTTTTGATTTATATTTTTATTATTTTTAATCTTACTATTTCTAATTTTTTTATTACTAATATTTTCTTGATTTTTACAAAATAAACATTTTTTTTTTTTTTTGAAAAATTATTGTCTTTTTAATGCTAACTTCTTTTTTTTTGATAATTATGTAATTGTTTATTATCATAATTGAAATAAGCCATGCAAATTCCTAATGAAATATAACCTATCTTTATTCGATTTTATGATTTTATTTAAAGTCTCAAAATCCAACACCCAGATTTCACCAAGCTGCCTTAATAGCTTATATACAGGTTGAGTATATCGTTGTAATATTCTGTTGAAATTGTCCATTATAATACATTCGCTATTTATATATTTATTCTTTGAGGAACTAAGTTCAATAACTAATTCATCTTCATAGTAGCTATCAATTTCTCACGAAGTATCAAGTTCTGATGCCAAACAATTTATATCAGCTTCATTTGTCTGTTCTTACATTGATTGTGATGTTGAATCGGCATACGTACACCCTAGCCATCTCTGCAACTGTTTTGTCAAAATGAAGATCATATATATACCACTGCATACATTACTAGTGCTATGTGCAGATGACAGAAAAGGTGTAGTCAGTTGTTTAAGGCTTTCGGAATCATCTCCGATACTATCATCAAGAACTTCATAATCCTTATCAGGATCACTACATAAGACTTCATCATAAATGTTCTCAATACTCAAAATCGTATTATTCATCATTAAAAAAATTATGCAAATTCTGCAAATGTGAAAAAAAAAAGCAAAAAAAAAAAGGTTAAACGTGATAGTTATGAAGAATTTAGCTGGTCAAATTGATTAAAAAAAAAAAAAAAAGGAATATTATAGTATAAAGAATTCAGCTATTCAAATTGTTCATTCAAAAAAAAAACACCCCAAATATGATGGTCATAAAGAATATGGTAGCTCAAATTGTTCATTCAAAAAAAAAAAAAAAAAAAATTTGAATCTTTTGATTACGAAGAATTTAGCAGTCCAATGTTCGTTAAAAAAAATTCGAATGCGGTAGCTATGAAGAATTCGAAAGTTCAAACTGTTCATTCAAATAATAGTTATTTGGAGCCCCTCAGATATATAATTGTAATATGCCTGTGTAAAAAAAATAATGTAACGGTAAAAATGTAAGCGAAAATTTCGATAAAACTTTTGTGTAACGTCATTTGGGTTGCCTCACTTCAATTCGAGATTCTTTTTAAAGACTAAACCCTTTTACAAACAGTTGCTCTATAATATAGTCCAATAAAAGACGCAGTAATAAAATGTTTTAAGTAATTTCAATTCGTACAAAAAATTTTTAAGGTACAGAACTCCCCTCCCCCTGCAGCGTGACATATCCCCTGATCGATACAATTTTGAAAACTGCGCTATTTGGTGGCGCTGCCGTAATTGTCAAATGCCGTAATGCCGCAGATACATACAGCAGATGCCGTAATTTCGCCCATCACACTGGTCTTATCAGGGACCAGGACGGACTGGGCCGACCAAATAATTAAAATTGCTAAAACAAATTTATTTTAGTTTTAACTTTTAAAACTACAAATTAATTTAATTAAGTTGACATCGCAAATAGTGATTCAAGTCGATAGGCATTAGTCGACTTAGCCGAAATATGTTGATTTTTTAAATTTATCGGCTTAGTATAACGTTTTCAAGTTGAAATTTTCTTAACTAATAAAGGTATTTTGATCGGTGCCGCTCGCTTCACCGACAGTCATTTCACCGAAAGTTCATTTAGCCAACATCACATGGGTTAGGGTTAGGGTTAGGGTTTTATTAGTTTCAGGTATATATTTTTAGTAAATTGTCACTTGGCGTGATGTCGGCTAAATATGAAATGATTGTCGGTTAAATGATACGGATCAATTTTGATCAATACGTAATAGAAAATTGATTTTCTGTGATACGTTGTTATTTATTGGTCTTTACCCATAATAATATTCGACTAAACCGGCTTAGCATAACCCAAAATATCGGTTCGACTAAGCCTATAAATTTTTGATCGACTATAATCACTAATCGCAAAAACTCTACTTAGTATACTAAAATACTAATTTAAGAATAATTGGAGCAGGGCTGTTGATTGTTCCATTCAGTGTTTAATATGATCTGATCTATAAAGACCGCCTACCTTTGGTCCAAATCAGATGAGCTGCGGTCTAGGACCGAATGAGACCGTTCAGTGTCAGATGGAGATTAATTAGTGCACTTTATTACGAATATTTACAAGCCCTAATCTAAACTAATATGGTACATCAAATGCGCCAAATTTAATAATTTCAAATTTTAAAGGACCACTCCAAAATTTTACCTGAAATACTGTACTAAATACGTTTCGGGTAAAATTTTGGGTAGTCCGTGAATTTTGAAATTAGCTGTAATGCGCCAAACTTATTAACAATTATATATTATATGCCAATTTATATAGATTACCTATAATTATTAAACAAATGTGCAAATTTTAGATAACTTGATGAGAAACACCATAGGAAATAAATTTGAAAGTGGTATCTTTGTCACTTTATAAAAGAATTTTTATTGGATATCTTTACCGGACTCGGCATGAATAATATTATTCTACCGATAGTTTAAAAGGTCTCTGCATTGAACGGATAGTTCAAACCACTATAATCATGCAGTTTAAGGTTTAATAAATTAACGTGATAGATCATTACTTCCACATTCCCATTTTCTACAGGAACTTTAAATTCTGGCCTGCATCTTTAAAATTCGAGTGATGATATCTTAGTCCAATCTAATAAACAGATAATTCTTTAAAATTTTAAATAAAAATACACGTGAATATATATTTTTTACTTAATGATGGTATTAAATGTTCCGTTTTAAAAAAGACAAGACCGATCTGATCCTTGACAGACCGGATTTATTAGGTTGATAAATAGATATATCGATATAGATGATTACGTAACATAGATCTGCTATTAGAATTATTATATGTAAATCATTTTCGAAGGTATGAAAAATTTATTGAAATTAAGACATCATATAAACATATAATACATCATCAAACGAATAGAATAAATAACTTTGCTAAATCAAAGGTAATAACTTTTTCCGGTTAAAACGAAAAATAAAGTTAAAAAATACAAATGGAATTATTAAAACTCCAGCTATCCGATGTAACATATATGCGTAATCTGTTATTAAGTGTAACATTGGAAAAATGAATATCCTAAGACAGTAGAAATGTCTATAAAATCTCGAGGGTTCAAAATTTTTGAATTTACAAAGAATTAAGAATTATTATAATTTAATAAATTTTATAAAATAAAAGTAATTTCATAATATAATTCTTTGTATTAAATTTCTAAGATGACTGATAGTACAACAAACGATTCTGATGGAACCACTGCGATATCCATTGAGGAAACATCTGGCATAAGACTTGATCCTGCAGAGGAGCAAATTTTAAAAGATCAAATTCATGTTCCTGAAATAAAAGAATCCTATTTTACTTTATATCGGTTCGCGACAAAATTTGACTGGATGATTATGTTTATTGGATTATTGTTTTCAATTGGCGCAGGTGCTGCAATGGTATGTACTTACAATTGTTTTTTTTTTTCATAATTTATTACTTAATTTATTCAAATTTTGCAGCCTGTAACAACGATATTTTTCGGAAAAATGGTCGATTTTTTTACCCGTTTTCAACTTCACGAAATAAGTCCCGATGAATTTTCCGCCAAAATTAGCTATTTCTCTCTAATTTTTGTATACCTCGCAATTGCCATTTTCGTTGCTACATATGCTTCTATTTCAACTTGGGTATATACTGGTGAAAGGTAATTCTTTAAATATATATATTATCGCGTAAATTTATTCGTTCTAAAATTAACACGTCATGTGATTATTCTACTAAGCTAACACGTCATGTGATTATTCTATTATTCCAGACTTGCTCGACAAATTCGAGAACGATATCTTCGTGCTATTCTTAGGCAAAACATCGCTTATTTTGATCAATTTGGTGCAGGTGAAGTTACAACTCGCATTACTTCCGATACACATCTAATACAAGATGGTATCAGTGAAAAAGCTTCACTCGCTCTTCAAGTAAGCTCCATATTCATTAAGTTGTTTTAATTTATACGATTGGTCTCAATTTTTCTTATTTACTAATAATATATTATATTTTTTCATATTATTTGTCATTCAGTATATTTCCCAATTCATTTCTTCCTTCGTAATCGCATTTACTACAAGTTGGAAAATGTCTCTTGTAATATGTTGCCTCATCCCTTATATTTCTGGAATTAGTATAATATTAAATAAATTTAGCGCAATTTTTATGAGAAAAGGTTTAAATCACTATTCTCGTGCTGGAATAATCGCCGAAGAAGCTATTTCGACGATCAGAACTGCGGTGGCTTTTGGTGCTCAAAAGAAACTATCTGATCTTTACGATGCTTACTTAATTGATGCAAGAAAAGAAGGTTATAAAAAATATTTGTTAAATGGCTTTTCTCTTGGATTCATGTTTCTTGGCATCTATTCAACTTATGCTTTAGCCTATTGGTTTGGTTCTACATTAATTATTAGTAATGAATTGTCTTCTGGACAAGTATGTGTTAAATTTTCTTTCTTTATATTAAATTTATAAAAGTTACTGACTCTTTTATTTATTTATTTATTTTTTTTTTCCCTATTTAAGGTCGTTAATGTATTCTTTTCTGTTTTAATTGGTGCTTTTGCTCTGTCAAATCTTTCTACCGATTTACAAGCTTTTAGTTTTGCTACTGGCGCTGGTACAAAAATTTTTGAAACTATTGATCGTGTTCCCCCAATCGATATTACTTCTGATTCTGGTGACAAACCTGAAAATGTTCTTGGTCGTATTCAACTTAGAAATATAAATTTCATTTATCCGGCTCGTCCTGAGATTAAAACTTTAAATGGTGTATCATTGGATGTTGAACCTGGTTCTACTGTTGCTCTCGTTGGTTCTTCGGGTTCGGGTAAAAGTACGATTGTATCACTCATATTACGTTTTTATAATCCCATCTCTGGTGATGTACTTCTTGACGGACGGGATATTAAATCACTTAATTTAACTTGGCTTAGAAGACAAATAAGTCTTGTTGGTCAAGAACCCGTACTTTTTAATACTACGATAGCTGAAAATGTATCTCACGGATTAATCGGTTCAGTTTATGAAAATTTATCTGACGATAAAAAACATGAAATGATTGAAAATGCCTGTAAAATGGCTAATGCTCACGATTTTATTATGAACCTTCCTAATAAATATGAAACTATGGTTGGTGAACGTGGATTTTTATTATCTGGTGGTCAAAAGCAACGTATCGCGATTGCTCGTGCTATAATTAAAGACCCAAAAATTTTATTACTCGACGAAGCTACTAGTGCTCTTGATACAAAGAGTGAAGGTATCGTTCAAGACGCGTTAGACAAGGCTTCAAAAGGTCGCACAACAATTGTTATTGCACATCGTTTATCTACTATCCGTAATGCGACAAAGATTATAGTGATGAATAAAGGTGTTATTGTGGAATCTGGTACACACAAAGAACTCATGGATGTAAAAGGCTATTATAGTAAACTTGTAGAATCTCAACAAATTAATCAAGTTCTAACGGCTGAAGAAAACCCTGATATATTAAGTTCATCTGTAATTCCACCAGGAGATATAGTCTCTATTAAGAATAAGGATGATATAATACCTGATGAAGATAATATAATTCATCGCATCACAACTAATAAATCCGTTTCATCTGCTTTTTTGGCTAAGCAAAAAGCTGATGTTGAAAAGGGTGTGAAAAATGAAGAAGATTATACCACTTGGGAGTTGATCAAAAAAATAGCATACATTAATAAACCTGAATTTCTTATGCTTGTCATAGGTTTATCTGCAGCAACTGTCAATGGTAAGTAAAATTTATTTATTGTTCATTGCAAAAAAAAAAAAAAAAAAAAAAAAATTGCTAATGCTGTATAACCATTTTTAACCTTTAGGATGTGTTTATGCGGTTTTTGCACTTATCTTTTCTCATGTTCTTCAAGCATTCTCAGAAACTGGTGATAATTTACGTCACGAAGCAACTTTTTGGGCCCTTATGTTTCTCGTAATTGCTGTGATAACCTTTATGGGAAATATTATCCAAGGTATCTGCTTTGGATTTTCGGGTGAAAGACTTACCAAACGAATTCGATCCATGTCTTTTACTGCTATTCTACGACAAGATATTTCATTCTTTGATGAAGAAAAACATAGTGTAGGTATTCTGACTAGTCAATTATCATTAGATGCAACTCATGTTAATGGTTTGGCCGGTTCCTCACTTGGAGGTATATTGCAAGTAGTGGCTACGATCCTTTCTTGCATCATAGTTGCTCTTGTAACTGGTTGGAAACTCGCTTTAGTCTGTTTATGTTGTATTCCTTTGTTGGTTGGTTCTGGTGCATTACGTATGAAAATGTTGAATGGTTTTCAACAAAAAACTAAGAAAGCTTATGAACATTCTGCGCAAATTGCTTGTGAAGGTGCTAGTAATATTCGAACTGTCGCTGCTCTTACTCGTGAAGAAGATTTATGGAATATATATCATCATTTACTAGATAACCCCATGAAAGAAGGTTTTAAAAATGCTTTCTTGGCTTCAACTACTTTTGCTTTCGCACAATGTGTCAACTTTTTCGCAAATGCTTTAGCATTTTGGTATGGAAGTAAATTATTTATGAATAGTGAATATGATCTTCAAAAAATGTTTACAGTCTTCATGGCAATTATCTTTGGATCAATGTCTGCTGGTCGTGTCTTTGCTTATGCTCCTGATATGGCCAAAGCAAAATCCGCATCTGCAACCATACTATCATTGTTAGAACGTATTCCCTTAATTGATACTTGGCGTCAAACTGGTAAAAAAGTTGAAACTATTGAAGGTCATCTTAAATTCACTGATGTCCATTTCCGTTATCCAACTCGACCTGGGATTCCTGTCCTTCGAGGTTTAAATTTAGAAGTCAAACCTGGTCAATATGCAGCATTAGTTGGACCATCAGGATGTGGTAAAAGTACTACAATAGGTCTTACTGAAAGGTTCTATCAAGTAACGAATGGTAGTGTTACAATTGATGGAATTAATATTAGTACAATGAATGTGAACAATCTTCGAGAACATATTGCTCTTGTAAGTCAAGAGCCATCATTATATGATATGACTATCAAGGAAAATATTATTTTTGGTTGTCGACCTGGACAAAATATTACTCAAGATGATATAGAAAATGCTTGTCGGGAAGCAAATATTCATGAATTTATTGTTGGATTACCTAATGGTTATGATACGCGCGTTGGTGGAAAAGGAGCACAACTTTCTGGTTAGTATTATATTGTAGATACCTACGTACATAACATGGTTTTTTTTTAAAAAATATATTTTTTTTAATATAACATTATTTCTTTTTTTTAGGTGGTCAAAAGCAACGAATTGCTATTGCCAGAGCACTTATTCGAAATCCAAAAATTTTATTACTTGACGAAGCAACATCAGCTCTAGATTCAGAATCAGAAAAGGTTGTACAAAGAGCTCTTGATGCAGCAGCTCGAGGAAGGACAACCTTGGCTATCGCACATAGATTATCAACAATTCAACATGCTGATGTTATATTTGTAATAAAAGATGGAAAAGTTCATGAACAAGGTACACATCAAGAATTAATAAACCTAAAAGGAACTTATAATATGATGGTACAAGAACAACATTTGGGAGAATCAAATTAATAATATAGAACAATTCCCACTTAATGTAAAATTATATAAAATTTTCCTTTTATTTAAACACATGTAGATAAATTCATTACAAAAATTTAGTGTAGGAATCCGTTAAATATGCAGTTAAATAATAATTTTTTAAGCATTTAATAATTTAAAATAGAATCATATAGAATAGTTTTTAAGAAATCGAATAATAATAACTTAATAAAATATAATTTTGCAAATTTACATACTGTAACTTATAGTTTTTCTCTGAAAAGAAAGATTTGATTATTGATGAGTGACTAGGCAATGTAAATGTAATTTATATTCAGACATAAAAATTAGTCATTTACAGTTAGTTACCAAAAGTATTAGGTTACCAACCACTTTTCCTTAATTATTAAATTCATGTAAATTAGGAAAACGGGGTCCGTTTGGATCCGGAGCGTCGCATTATCATGTGATTTACTATTGCTATGAAATATATATTTTTTTTATTTTATTTTAGCTAAATTTTCGGCCAATCGGTATATTCCTGCTTATGTTTGATATTCGGTTAACATCTTGCCAATTTATATTTTTATTGTTACATAGCAGCGATATTTTTTTTGTTCCTGCGAGAGAAAAGTTAACATTGTTAAAAGATTTTTTTTTTTTCTTTTTTTGTAATAAGAAGATTCTTTTTCATTTTGGTTACCCATTTTAAAAATGAAAGTTACGAATATTTTACAAAAAAAAACATTATTCTTATTTATCTCAAATTATTAACAAATTAACTTATTTTTTATTTATATAAACTTGATTTTTATTCAAAGTTATTGATATTTTATAAACTTTTATTCCTATTCAGAGATATTGATATAATAGCGATCAAACGATTATATTCTATCTGGGTCATAATTAGACGAGTTGGCTACGTATTAAAATGTAATTTATTACATTACTTTATACGCAATGTACAACGAAAATTATGCTTAACATTTATATTTATTATTATTATTCATTTGAATTCTATTTTTTTATTTAAAGTTTATTGTTAATTAAATAAATTGTGTATATGTACAGTTTATGAATATTAAATAATAATGTTTATACTGCTAAAAAGTTATCACTGTTTTAAAAATAGTTGACATAAATTCTTTTTTAAAATATTGTGAATGCTCTCAAAAAATCGTGAATACTCTAGTTTTTTTTCTGATATAACAATTATATTTAGAGTATTCAGAAAAAAAAAACTAGAATATTCACGATTTTTTAAGAGTATTTACAATATTTTAAAAATGAAATAATTTATACATCACAAATGCAATGTTATCACATATATTATAGATTATATAATGTGAAAACAAAACAAAGCAAAAATAAACATTTTTATTTTGTTTTAGTTAAGGATAGAGTGTACTATTTTAAAATTATATATAAACTTGATAGAAATATTTTTTGTAATTAAAATACAAAATAATTTATAAATTAAATTTATTTTAAGCTTCTAAATAAAGTTGTAAAGTAGGTTCTTGTGATTTTATCAGTAATAAAAATTTTAAATTTAGTTAAAAACTCATTGAGATATTAGAATTTAAAGATTGTATATAACTTTTTATTATGAAATTTATCTTATAGAACTATGAAAATTAACTAATTAGAATAGGTTATTTTGTACTATTTAAGCAAATTTGAGTTAATCTAAGAAAACTTCATGATATATAAAAGTATAAATTTTTTATAATTAATATTTTTAAAATTTTATAAAAAGATATATTCTATTTTAATATATATATTGCAAAAATTTTATAAATTTTTATTAAATTTTGAAAATTTTTATTAATGCATATATTTATTTTTGAAAATTGCTAAATCTCACTGCAGATGATCATTACCTCAAAGTTGTACAACATATAGATTAGTATCGTAACAAAAAAAAAATCATTTTATTTAGTTTAGGATAAGGGCCGCGGCCTATGATTAGGGTTAGGGTAGGACTTAGATTATACACAAAATTTAGCAAGGAATTTTTTTTATTAGAGCCCAAAAAACAGTTTCATAATCGAATTTTTGAGATATTCACGATTTTGAAAAATTCTTTGTTTTTGTCGTACAAAACGTTACACCTGATTCTGCAATTTTATTGGTTAATTACACACTGGTGATGATCACCTGCGGTGATGTTTAGCAATACTCTTTATTTTTTACCAAAAATAAGATTTATTATATAGATCAAAATAAAAATAATCTGCATATATTTTACCTTTAAGGTTGCTTAGTTAATATCAAAATTTTATAAGAATTTTTTTTTTTTTAGAACATAAGAAGTAGTTTCTTATGTAACAATTTGAGTATTTATTTTTATTATAAAAATTACTATTTGTATACTATATTATATAAACTTATTAGAAAAGCTAATTAAAATTTAAGATTAGATATAATATATAAATCTTTTTTTATGTAACAAAAATAAAGAATTTTTTTAAAAATGCTAATATCTCAAAACTTAATTTATAAAACTATTTTTGAGATTTTAATAAAAAAATTCTTTGCTAAATTTTATATATAATTATAATCTTGTTAAAATATTAGACTTTTTTATTATTAAAGCTACTTTCTTAGTTAATTAGATTTTATTAATTTCTATTATAGAGTTATATATATAGCTCTTCCTAAGATTTATAATTATATGATAAGTATACAACAAGCTATATATACAACTTTAGTTATTATTTAATTTAAATAATCTACTATACAAATATTAGACTATTTATTTAATTCTACACTATGCTGCTATATTTGCAAACTATCTATAGATTAACTATTTAAATACTTTAATTATTAACTTATTTTTAATCTTAATTAATTTTACTATTATATCTGATTACTTAAGCTAGCTAATTTGTTTATAGATCTTTCTCTAATATAACTTAGGTTCTTTTGAAATATATATTATCTAATGCATTGTAAATATATAGAGTTTTAGTTAATTTTAGAAGCAATTTCTATTATAGTGATCATATATCAATTTTACAAATTTATTTAGCATAAACCTTTGCAATATTTATATAACTATAAGTTTTACTATAATCCTTTACTAGTTAGTTAATCTAGTTCTTTTCTGATATCTAGTTAGTTAATTTACATTTTTGTTTAGTAACCTTGAAACTTTTAATTTTTATTAGACCAAGTTTTCTTTTTAGATTAAACTTTAACCTATATAGTCTTATAGAAAGACTATACTACTTTATCAAATTTAGAATTTCTATTATACAAGTCTTCTGTTTATACATCCTATTAAGATTTATTTGTATAATATTATATCATACTTTCAAGTTTAAATTAATTTAGTATAACTCAAGTTACAGAGTATATCTTCAGAAATAGACAAATTTTATTATAATATATCACAAAATTTAAAAAATTATTCAAATTTTATTAACAGTAAGATTTGAACTTCAGATCTATTACATAGTAGTTCAATAATCTAACTACTATACTAGATTACTAGATCTCAAAATATTAGGCTTTGCTCTAACTTAAAGTTAAAAAAGATTACTAAAAAATTTTTTTTGTTTATACTCATATATAAATATATATATAAATGTAGAAATTTTTATTTATTTTTGTATTATTAATGAGTAATTTTTTTAAAATTTTAAAAAATATAAATTAAAATATAAAGTACAAATTTTTTTAAAAAAGTTATTTTATAATTCTAAGTTTTATATTTTGTATTACAAATTCTTAATAAATTATCTTAATTAGTTATAATAATAATATCTAATTATAATTATACTATATTAATATATATAATTTTTACCGTTTAGAATATTTTTATATTCTGTCACTCTTTTTTTCTTTTTTTAGTTAAAAAGAGTGTTTGTTTCTTTTTCTTTTTTCCTTTTTTTCCTTGTCTTTTTTTTAGTTATAAGGGTTTTTTAATCGGGTAGCAGATTTTTCCCTTATAATTTAGGTTCATATAATTGGCTACGCTTCATTATATGTAACAATTTTTATTTTTTTCATTTCTGTATGCCAGTTAGACTGCACTCTATCTTTTTTTTAGGGTTATATCCTAAATTAAGGATAGAGTGGTACTAACTGTAGCAGTCATGATGGGTTGTAGCATCCTTCCTATATTATATAGGAAAAAGGTTACTATAGCAGATCGCACATAGGTATCTATAGGATAACCGGGTGAGTCGGGACTTAAAAAATTAGACATTAGATAGTATATCGCTAAATAATGGTGTTTTTCTTATGAAAAACAAATCTAAATAAAGTCACGGCATGATTGCTGAATTTTAAAAAAAATATATATATTTTTTATTAGTAAAAATAATGATCGATCATGATTACTTCAAAGACTACTAATTAATATTAAATTTAATTTCAGATTACTAATAATATGAAAAGTAACTGAGCTTGAATGATCTATAGTAATTAAGGATAGTCTTTTAATATTCAAAAGAACTTAATCAGTTATTATCACTATATAGTTTTAGAGCTAATAAAGAAAATCTAGAAATGAATCTTTAAGCTTACTATTGTAGCAAGCAAACTTTTAGTCTGCTACTAGTGAACTGAAAGTTTGCTTGCTACAATAGTAAGCTTAAAGATTTATTTTCAGATTTAAATTAGAATTAATATATTGAATCATAAATTTTTAAATACTATTTCTATTAATTTGTATTGTTTTTAGTTATTAAATCATAAATTTTTTAATACTGTTTCTATTGATTTGTATTGTTTTCAGTTTATATAGAAATATGTTGTTTTCTATTACTATCTAGAATTATATTTTGATATAAAACAGATTAAATCAATAAATATCATTTAAACCAATTTTTAAATCTTTTTTTTATCAGTTAATAAATTGTTATATATTGTTTTAATATAGTTTCTCTTTTTCTAAAATAAGTTAGCAGTGTATATATTGTAATTACGAATTTTTAAAATCTTATACATTGACATAACATATTTTGCTAAAGCATCTATATAACCAAAATACAAGTCATACTATTTCTGATGAGCAATTA